ATGATGATATGATGATGACAATGCCGACTAGCTGATTTTGGATAATAATGAATCGTATCTGGTGCGTTCTGGCAAATTTGATTTTGATAATTGGTACTAACAGATATTGGTTGAAACTACTATTTTTTATTTTATTTTAATATGGGAATTCATTCATTGAATCGGAATAATGGTTTTTTATACTTGTACATATATACTATAAAGCTGAAATAAACAAATGATCATCTTGGTGAAAAATGGAATGTGAAGGTTTATTGAAAACTCGCGACAGTTTTGCTCAAGCATTAATATTCTTTTGAAGGCGATTGATGATGTTTATGAAATGATAAATATTAGTAATTATATATAATAAATATGTATCATCACTGTTATTTTATTATAACTATTAAAATGGTAAACGCTGATTGCAAAAATATTGACGTTGCAAATATCATTTGGTTTCCTTTTGCTAAAAGGACAATAAACTAATTATTTGATGATATAATACCTTTATATCTTGTTATAATATCCTTTTCATTACTAAATCTTTCTTCAAAGATAAATATTGGATATATCCCCAATAGATGTGTTATTGGATATATTCAAATTTAAAACATATTGCTACGACTCTACGGAAATACTTAATCCACAAATTGTTTTTGCAGTCTTGGAAGCAAGTAATTGAACTGATTGATAATGTGATTATATATATTAATATAGTTTGTTATAATTAATAAATTCTTATTAATTAAATTAAGAACCCTATTTTATTTATACAGCCTGTATGGTGTACAACAACCACCGTGTTATGTTTTCTTTAATAAAAACAAATTAAAAAATAATAAGATATTTTTACCTTAAATAATAATTGTGTTTGTTTATATTCTTCTATAAAAATAAATAATTAACGATTTGACAAAATTATTCATTTATTTCCATATATTTTCAAAAATGATATAATATTTTTACTTCTGCTTCATTTGCAAAATTAATGAAACTTTTTTCCTTACAGCTTTTTTGAACCGTTGCTCAGAAATTTCTCTCGTTATTCGTCTGCATTTTATAATTGGTTTTCATAATATCTATTTCTTCTTACCTCAACTCTTAATAACAAAATGTTTATTAGTTGGTATTAAAAAATACTTACAATTTCAATGCGTTCTACAATGATCTCAACTTGAAATAGAATTAAATAGAAGAAGCCTTTGAGAAAAGAATAATAGATATTAAGAAAACTGCCTATGATACTGTTAATAATAATTTTTTAATGAATATTAGAATGCATAGCAAATGATCTTATAAAAAACAGACGTTGTACTCGGAAACTTCGAACCATGAAAGCTCGACTTCAGACCATTTCACTAAAGATTCTTCTTAGTAAAGCAAAAATATATTTTTCTTACTATCACTCATTTACTCATCCACTCACATTAATTCATAGACTTTGAAATCTAACCAACAAATTTTTGATACTATAATAAAAGTCACAAAAGTATTCTTTATTTCATTAAATCTTGGAATCATTTTCAATCAATAGTAATGATTTTTTAGATCATGAAATCAAGGAATGAATTTATCAGATGCGTAAAAGATTATGAAATGAATCGGAATTTATGACTATGAAAGAAGATGATGTGATAAATGATACTGTAGAAAAATTAAAAATAATAATAGTCGTTTTAAAATTCCATTTTTTTTATTTTCTAAATTTCTGTTATATGAATGTGAATATAGATAGTGTAATTACAGGAGAAATAATTTTGGTCGCCATAAGTTCGTAAATATGATGGCATCAAATCGTATAGTGTAATCAATATCAAATACAAATTTTGTGATGAAAACACACCTTTAAAGACATTAAGCTATTGTCAATTAATAAATGTTTTACTTTTTGACAGTGAAAACAAATTTTTCTTTTAATATTTGGTGGGAACGAATGGTTTATAAAGAACAATTTTATTTTAAAAGAAGCTTTATATATCAAATTATGTTTATCATGTATATTTTTACTTAATGTTGGCATTCTTTTAACAATATTGCTTAAAAGGCCTTAATAAGTAGTTGAGAATATAGGCTTTCATATAATAATAAGTACAACTTTATGTTGATTAGAAAAATTAAAGATGTGTTCCAAGATTGTTATTATGAATAACCTAATCACTATTGAGTACCAAGAATTACAATTATTTACATACGATTACGATAGATTGTATTTTCGAAGCCAACTATGTATAGTAATAGTTCTTCTTAAGATGATATTACATCTTTTTAAGAATTCCCAGTGTTTATGTACCATATTATTGATTGCAAACTACAATTGTCAAAAATAATTACCAGCAATAATAATAATATTCCTCAATTTACGGCCAATTAAAAAAATTTTATTTTATTGATCAAGATCCCTAATAAGCAAGCATGGAATTATTTCTGTAAATACCATATCCTGACTTCTCTAACACGACACAGATAATCATAAAATAATTATATGTATATTAAATTTAAATTGTAAATTCGTATATTTCCAAATTACTCAAAATCACAATTACCAGTACATTTTACATCAAATTTATAAAAATCTAATGTAATGCTGCTGTCAAACAATCTTTCATAAACATGAAAAGTTTTATTTGTTTTTTTCTTCCTTCCATGATTGTGAACATATCTCAATATCTCTCCTCAAACTTAAATTTTCTTCATTTAAATTTGCAGATCATTCAGGGAACAAACCAATTTGTGCTTGCATGTATGACCAAGGTAACCTTTATCAACAGCCAGTCCATAGATGAGCACACATATATCATAGTGTTTAAAAAGAAAATGCCAAAAGAATATTTTTGTTTTCTTTTAAAATTTATCACACGTAAAATCATTGTTATACAAGTGGATAGCCAATAAAATTTAAGAAAATTATATATAGGTAAATATCAAGTGAAAGTATTTTAAATACACATGTAAACTCGATAAGTCGGACATGGTGGGGAGGACTCATCTGTCCGACTTATCAAATTTCATAATTTTTTTTTATTTATATAAGTGATACAAACTCTTTATAAAAAACGGAGAATTATTTTTTGTAAAAACTTTCCAAGGTAAGTTGTTTTAGAGAGGCATTTTGCTTTCTTCTAATCTGATGCTGTAGGTTTTTCATTCCCGAGATTAATGAATTATTTATTTTTATATCTGCATTTTGCTGCAAATAATTAAATATACTTTGAATGCTATCCAACGCAACTGTATTTGATATTGGATTACCTATATCTTTTCCCTCCTCTTCTTCTTCTGGTGCCTCTTGTACTGCAGCAATTATATCTTCTTCGTCAACCACTTCAGCAATCGTTTTTCTTCTTTCAAAATTAGCAAGTGAAATAATAAATGATATAATCAATGATATATCCTATGATATAATTTATGAGTTAAAATATAATGTATTGTTTATGATACAAACGAGAATGTTCTTATTCTTTCTAAATAATCAAATGAGATAATAATTAGCAACATGATTAATGAACATTGCCGGATACAAAACAAGATTATAAATGATGACGAAAATGATGAAATTATTATTAATAGTAATTCTAATGATCAGCCCATGCGGACGATTTCCAGGTAGGTCTGACCTTTATCCCTGTGTTCAGAGGGATACAGCTTTAGCCTGGGAAAACATATGGGGGATATCCCCCCTTATCAACCTTATCGATCTTTGGGCACAGGGATAAAGGTCAGACCTACCTGGAAATCGTCCGCACATGGTGCAGATAATTGCGTATTTACTAAAAATAGTAAGGACTATTTTTCGATATTTGAAAAAATCACGTGGACTGACTTTATCGAGAGTCATTTATTACTATCTGGTTAAAGAAGTTGTCTGACTTGCAGGCTTATCGTGAATTTATATATGTCGCCCGACTTATCAAATTTTTTTAAATACCGGAGAAAAATTTTGTCCAAGTTAGGTCAAATCCGACTTATCGCGTGTCCGACTTATCGAGTTTACATGTGTAAAGAGAAATTAATATGTATATAAAAATACTTTAACAGGTGCAAATTTTAAAATATTACAAACTAATGAAATCTAAACTTTATAAAAATTTATTTATTTTATAAAAATAAAAAATCTGGTTACAATGAATTATCTAAATAATTGTTTGATGCAATTACTTTATTATTTGCTAATTTGACAAGCACATTGGATTTAATAAGGAAAAAGAAGTGTGATTTACGAGTATCAAGGCATCAATGGTTTATGAAGGCATGGAATTCAAAAACATAAAAAATATGGGTGGATAGATGTTATCAATGTAAGATTAAGAACCATCATGTTGATTATTAGCATTTTTTATTACTATGTAAAACCCTAATAATCAAAGATCATTTACTATCACCATCTAGAACCATCATACTCATGAGCAATAATAAATCCTAACAATTTGTCAATATAAACAGCATTTGGATGAATTCATCTACCCATTTCATTAATTTGTGTTGAATTGATTTTGCTCTATCAACTTGTCCGAGAATTAATCAAAATAACAAAATCTGTATAAATTTCGGTGTGTAACTAATTCAGATTTCTACAAATTTAGAAATTATCTGCAAAAAATTACTATGTATGACTCTTGTTACACCCGCACATTCCGCACATTGAATTTTATACACTGATCAATCAATATCCATGCATTTGTAGTTCAATGGTGTTGAGGATCCAATTTCTAAGATCTAAATCATGTGTCCATTATTAAATGGTTTTTGTGTTGACATTGCCCAAGATCAATGTACATATATATATATATATATATATCTTCTGGAGTCAGATAAAATCACATTGGATTGGATTATTAAAATCTATTCATGTCATGTGATTGATGGCTGGCGATCGACAAAGACCACAAAGTTCAAATAAATAATATTCAAAGTTTCATCCCAAAAAAAATTAATTTATTTATTTATTTTTTTCGATCGCTTTAAACAAATTGTTCGTTTATTATAATAAAGAGAAAACTTTTAAACTTTGATACACAACCATGGTATTATACTAAAATTTTAATTTTAATTTTGTTTTCTTCAACTAAATAATTTTTTTAAATCTGTGCAGGATGAAGAATATGATGTCATTATACTTGGTACTGGCTTGACTGAATGTATTCTCTCTGGTATATTATCAGTTGAAAGAAAAAAAGTCCTTCATATGGATAGAAATGATTATTATGGAGGTGAAAGCGCTAGTTTAAATTTGAAACAAGTATATTATTATTTTATAATTATCAATACAATAATCATCGAATTTTTTAACAAATCACATTATTATATTATTATAAAAAAAATTAATTTATTTATTTATCAATATAAATATAGTTGTATCGTAAGTTCCGTCCCAATGAAGAACCACCAACAACATTAGGAAAAGATCGTGATTACAATATTGATCTCATTCCTAAATTTATGATGGCCAATGGTGAACTTGTCAAGATTCTTACTCACACCGATGTCACTCGTTATCTGGAATTCAAGCAAATTGCCGGCTCATATGTATATCGTGATGGGCAAATTTCCAAAGTACCTGCAAATGAAAGTGAAGCTATACGTAGTCCATTAATGGGTATATTTGAAAAAAGGAGAGCAAAAAAATTCTTTGAATTTATGCAAAATTGGCGTGATGATGATCCAAACACTCATCAAGGTACATAAATATTTGTTTATTTTATTTATTTTTTTGTTTGAACTTTTGATAATAATGTTTTCTATTTTGGAAATTAAGGTATTGATCTTGATACTGCGTTAATGTCTGATGTTTATAAACAATTTGGGCTTGAACCCGGTACTCAAGATTTCATCGGACATGCTATGGCTTTATATCTTGATGATTCGTATGTGTGCTAGATAAGAAGAATTTTTCAAGAAAATAATTTAATAAATATAAATAAATAAAAAAAGTGCAAATATTTACATATCTATATTTGTATTGTCAGATACCTTCAGCGTACTGCACGAGAAACTTATGAAAGAATCATTCTTTACTTTACTTCGGTTTCTCGTTATGGAAAGAGTCCTTATATTTATCCACTTTATGGTTTAGGTGAATTACCTCAAGGTTTTGCACGGTAGTTATTTAACTATTTATGAATGGTTATAAAAATTAATTATATTCTAAATCTAATTTCTAATATTATTATTATTACTATTAGTTTGAGTGCTATTTATGGTGGTACATATATGTTGGACAAACCTGTTGATGAGATTGTTTATGATGGAAATGGTCGTGTTGTCGGTGTTAGTTCTGGTGGTGAGGTAATTGTTCGATTGATTAATATAAGTAAACAGATGAATAAATGAAGCATCTAATCAATCAATCAAATCAATCAATCAATCAAATTAATAAAATAGGTTGCTAAGACAAAACAAGTAATTGGTGATCCATCTTACTTCCCGGCTAAAGTTAGAAAGGTCGGCAAAGTAGTTCGTGCAATTTGTCTGCTTAAAGATTTTATACCAAATACTGAAAAGTCAGACTCGGTTCAATTGATTATTCCTCAAAATCAAGTTCAAAGAAAACACGGTATTTAATTTTCTTAATTTAATTTAACTTCCGATAAAATACTATTTTTTTTTTTACTAATGGAAAATAATTATATAATAGACATTTATATCGCCAGTGTATCTTCAACTCATAATGTTTGTGCTCCTGATTATCAACTCGCTATTGTTTCTACCATTGTAGAAACCGATAGACCAGAAAATGAGATCAAACCTGGACTTGACTTACTTGGTCCAATTGTCGAAAAGTGAGTATTTATATATATATAAATTTTATTCCTTCCTTTTTTTAAAAAAAAACGGTATTATAATAATACAAATACTTTATTAGATTTATAAGTGTCTCGGATCTTGAAGAGCCAATCGATGATGGTACCAACGATCAAGTGTTCGTTTCTCGCTCTTATGATGCCACATCTCATTTTGCAACAGTTTGTGCTGATGTCAAAAACATTTATCGTCGTGTGACTGGCAAAGATCTTGAATTAAAACAACGACCAACTCAAGATGAAGAACAAAGAGAAATGTCCGAATCTTAAATAACATATTATATATGTGTGTATTATGTGTGTATTTATGTGGGCGGGTTATAAATAAATTAATTAAAATTATATATATTTAAAAAATTTTAATTAGAAATTAAAATAAATTAGTTGGGAAAAAATAAACAAAAATCCATCATTATTATCCTTAAACGAAATTACGTGCTAGTCAGCACGGAGTTTTGAATCATAATAGACCTTTCCCGCTATGACACTCACAACCTTTCTTATTTAGAAAATGATGTTTAAATACTTTGCTTCATAATATGTGTAAATCATAAAGTTCACTTTCTTTGCCGATTATTTATTTATTTGGTTACTCGCCATTTTAAATGTACATAAAAATTCATAGCTTAAATTGGCTTTATTTCTTCGCATATCTTGCAGGCCCAAAAATAAAATACGAAACTCATTTACATTAGATCTATAGTACCATCAGAAGTATTTTGAAAAAGGAACAAGGTGAAAAAATTGCTCCCTATGTTTTCAAAATAAACGATACTCGGACACTGGAAGCTTATCTAAGAAAAGAAAAGATTACCTATGAAATTTAGAAAAAGAAAGCAGAATGAAGATGTGCTATTTATTACCCAACAAAAAGCAAAAATCCTTAGAAGGAAAATAATCTTGTTATTAAATATTGATTTTTTTTACTGACTATTACTACAAATGTAATGATTGCTGTCTGTAAATATCTACAACTTTACAGAATAAGAGTCATCATATTACAGAACGCTTAAAGTCATCTACAGACAGCATCTATACATATTGCATTGCTTATCAATAAAAAAATATTCAAAAGAAATCGAAAATCTATAGAAGGATTTCAAGCAATTATTTGACAAAAAGACTGGATTGAATCCCGATTTTTCATTTGGTGAAACGGCCATGGAAATTTGTGAATTATTTGATGAGAAAGAAGTTAATTGCTTTTATTATTAAAAATTTCCATCAACGAAAAACAAATCCTAGAAGGAAAACACTAGAGGCAATTCAGTAATGGGCCAACAAAGAAAGGAGGAAAAGGTGGAGAGTAAAATTGATGAAGATAATGAAAACAAAGATACAAATATGATTGACTCGGTCTAAAGATCTCCTATTGCTGCGCTACGCGCTCAAATTTCAAAAATTTCGATTTCGTGATTCGTTCAAAAATGCAATAAAATTGTTATTTTCTGTCTTGCCAAATTTAGATACGATTGACGAATATTAGTCTAAATTTAGTAATAATGGTCTAAAACTAGTCTAAATTTAGCGATGATCATAGCTCTGAATTCCCCATGAGCATAGTAAAGTCCATGTTTTAAAAAAGAATAGAACTCTACAACAAATAATATTTTTGAGAAAATCTCTCTATTACATTAAAGTTAAAGACTTATTCCATCAACTAATAGAGCTATTCTTTTAAAAGGTAGGACAGAAAATGACTTTTATGCTTTTAAAATTTGCACAAAGTTTAGGAGACTTTTAGACTGAGCCAACTACAGAATTTCCATTCACATTTCGTACATATTAATAAAGAAAAAAATAAAATCTCAAATTACGTAAATAATTTCCTTCGAATTCACCAAATGCTTAGATATCAATAACAAACAATATTATTATTATTTTCTTTCGTTTATTTGTTAAATGTTTTTTTAAAATACGAATTATATGGCCTATAAATAAATAAAACTCCGTTTATATTTAGAGCAAAAGATGATTTATGATTTTGATATACATGCATCAATACAGCAATGGTAGTATATCTTGATGATTCATGAATTACCAAAGAAATGTTAAGATATACAAAGTTACGTTACATGAACAAGAAATAACCTATTAAAATTAATGTCAATATTAATGTAGCGCGTGAATTTGTAATTTAAATTTAACACAGAAAGAACAAAAAAACGCTAATTAGCCAATCATAATTTGTAATAATAAATTTCAAATTAATAGAAGTCTGGTGTGCGTTCATGTGATTCCAGTGAACCCTTTCTTATTGTTATTATCATATTAAAGAAAGATCACTCTTTAAAATCTCAAATTACCGTGAATAATTTTCTTCGAATTCACCAAATGCTTAGATAGCAATAACAATATTATCAATTATGGCTATTACCTAATTATTAATTAATTAACACAAGTAAGAAACGAAAACATTTTCCGTGTCACGACCACCTTCCAAAATCAGTAAGGCGAGTGACCTTCGTGCAGGTTTCTCGTCGATTGTCTCTTTTTGCGTTTAGCCGCGCTTGGTTTTTTCGGCTTTTGGCACGATCAACGTTTTCACCATATTAATCTTTAGCAAAAATTGTGTCGTACGGCAAATGTTTCGTTTCTTAATAGATTCAATTGCAATTCTTTGCAAGGTGAGGAGAGGCATGATCAATGAATCAGCAAAATTCTATGTTTTTTAACCTAATTTTTCGGGAAGGAATTTTTTGTTTTCGCTGGTGGTAAATTTCAAAAAAAAATTTCTGAAATTGATCTACGTGAATTCTTTATTCTTTTCTTTGAATGTGAATACCTTTTTCACATGATAAACATTTATCGTGCAATAATAATAATATCTTTTTTTCCAACAGAAGAGAACTGTTTGGTAAGAATAAAAAATTTTGTTTATTTTACATTTGAGAGCTATTTAATTTCAATAATTGAATTCATTAGTGGCTTTTTTTGTTATTTATTTATTTTATCGTATATATGCCACTAAGAATAACTTTTTGGTAGTGGCGAAGCATCTTTCTTTTTGTTTAATATTTAGTTAGTGTGATGAAGGTCATACCGTCGATTTGTTTATTTTACTTTATAATAAAAGCATCATTCTATTATTAAAAACATTTTTACTATTGTCATTTGTCCTGTTTTTTGGATTGTACCATTGATTTGTTTACTTTTTAAGAAAAGTGCTATGCATTTAGTTTGTTAATTGACAATCGAATTAATTGTCTATTACTATTACTAAAATGTTAAAAAACATTTTACAATTTACGGATTATCATTTGTCCTGTTTTTTGGATCGTACCATTGGTTTTGTTTATTATTAAAGATGCTAAAAATCATTTTTTACTATTATTATCACATGACCTGTTTTTTTGGATCATTGATTTGTTTATTTTTAAGAAAAGCATTATCCATTTACAATTGAATTTATTATATTAATTGACAATTGATTGATTATTATTACTAAAAATAAAGTGCTGTGTGTTTAATTAAATTGACAATTGAATTGATTATTTGTTTATCACTAAAATGCTTTGACCACGTCTATACATTCATTTTGCAAAGCTAGATTGCAAGCTTTGTAAATCTTGACTTTAACACTTACTTTGATCAAACCCGTCTATATAATTATTGAATAATTGATAAAAATTTGTTTTGCAAACTTCATAGATCTTGTCTAACACTTACTTCAAACAAACCGCCTATATGATTATTTAATGATTGATAAAGTCTTCTTCATTAAATATATTTTACAAACAACTTCATAGATATTGACTATAATATTTATTTCAATCACTCCCATACAAAAAATTGAATAATTGATAAAACGTTCATTTGCAAAACTTGATTTGCAAACTTCTTAGATCTTGTATTTAACATTTACTTTGATTGCACCTATACAAACTATTGAATAATTGATAAATTTTCATCAGTATATTTTACAAACTTGTCATACATCTTGTATTTAACGGTTACTTCCACAAACTCACAACCTATCTTCAACTCTACTTTTTTTCTATTGAATTATTTTGAATTTTTATTTTTTAGATTACGCAGGATTACACAATAAAAATTATGGAATAGAATTTGTCCAATGAAATGTTGTAAACTGTATAAATCCCATGCACAACTTGAAAAAAGTTGGTATGTAAGACTCATATTTCCATTACTAGTACTCATCTTGGGTACAACCATGTGACTCACTTGAATGTGTTATTAAAGTCCAGCAAGGTAGTGAAACTCTTGCTGGTGGCTCATGCTGGGTTTATTGACCTTTCGCGACATGACCTCTCCTCTTTTGTTTATTTTAGATAAAATTCATTAATTGATTTGATTGGTTACATTTGTAATATATGGATTATGAGCATAGCGGACATTTGCATATTTGGTAATGATTTGCGTTAATCACATTTTGGTTTTATCACGTAAAAAAAGAATTTTGATTGGGCTGAATATCATCACTAAATTAACAATTACACAAAATCACTAATTGCGCACAATCATTTTTTGACATTAATTAATTTTTAAACATAATAAACAAAGTTGTTTTTAGCCATTAAAATATTTTTATACATAAAAAAAATGTGATGTGATAGATACAGAGATAAAGACACATTATAAAAAAAATAATAAGGAAATTGGAATTGTGCAAAAATATGGGTTTACAATTTTTTTTTGCAAAAATCCCTTTCATAGATTGTGTGAATTTAACATCTCTGTTTTGTAAATAATAAAATTCAATGTCATTATAACAGTAACAGTAGTGAATTGTTCTCCCTTATCCATATTCGAATATTTGAAATGATATTTTGATTCTTATTATAATACTTTTGAATATAAATATCGTAACACTTTTGAATATAAATATCGTAACACTTTCAAATATTGTAACACTTTCGAATATTGTAACACTTTCGAATTAGAATATTGTAACACCTTCGAATACTTTCAAATTAATATTAACACTTCCAGATATTATAATATTGTAATTATAATATTAATATATATATACTTTATTTTTTTAATTAATGTAACAACATTTCATGTAATTAAATATATAAATTTGTTTCCATAAAAATCATTACATATTATTATTATAACGTAAATTATTACACATATATTTGAAAGAGTTACAATATTCAAAAGTGTTACAATATTTGAATATATAAAAATTATTTGACACCAATTTCGAAGTAGGGTATCAATGATGGAATTGCTTATAATTAAACAAAATGTATAAAAGAACTCTGAATTCCATGTAAAAATAAATTAGTTTTAACAAATAAAATTATTATATAATAGTCCTTGATAAACCCAAAATTGTGATAATTCCAATTTCTAAATTTTTAAATTAACATAGTTGCCACTATCAGTGATCAAAATTTTCAGCAATTCATAAAGCTGACACTTCTTCCATGTGGTCATATTTATCATGAATATTGTTTACAACATCATGAATACAAGTGTCTATATTGTTTAAAATATATAAAAAATCAGATTAATATCAATGTAGAATCTATTATTAATAGACTTACAAGCAAAAAAGATCTTCCAATAGAAGATGATCCTGAAGATGAAATTCAACCATTAGAAATTGATGAACCTGAGGAATTACAAATGGAATTTAATCTTCAAGCTGAGATTGAGTTTAATACAGCACTTCAAGAGTTCCTAAGGGATTAGATTTCATATAATAAATTTTTTTTTCTTTAATTAATTTATGTATTATTGTTACATGTATAAATTTAGAAATTCTTTAGAATAATTAACTACCTTTTGAAATCCTTTTATGTAATTAATATAACATCTATGTATAATAATAATAAAAATTGTATTTGGTGTATATATACTATGTCTTGTAACTAACCAAATAAATAAGAAAAATATTAATA